ACTTTAAATATTGATTGAGGTATTTTATTTTTATTTTAAATATTAAAGATAAAGATTTATATCAGATTCCAGTACGAAATTTTATATACTTTAATTACCACATTTAAACCTTTGCTACGTCTTAACTGATAGGTGTAGTAGCTTTTGTTATTGGCATCAAAGAAGTTTATAATTTTTCTATAGTTATATATAGTTAACAAGATTGTATCTCTCTATTCCTGTCTGAATTTTATTGCCGCTGTCTTGTTTAGTAGCATTTTGCATATTATTTTTATCTTCAATATCACTTTATCTTTAATATCACTTTATCTTCAATATCGCTTTATCTTCAATATCACTTTATCTTCAATATCAAGATCACATTTGCGTGCAGAAGAAGACGGCAATAAATTAGTAAATTTATTTGTTTGTATACTTACTCCCTTAATAACTTGTTTATTTCCACGCTCAGGGGGAGAACGCGGAACACTCATTTTAGGGTTTTTTTTGTTTTAGTTTAGTGCAATCTGTTTGTTGTTTTTAATTTATATCGAAATTAAAAACTGAAATAATTCAAAATTCGCTTTCAAGCTCCAACACAAGCAATGGATTTTTAAGCGAATTTAAGCAAATTTTAGATTTAAAGACCCGCACTTTCTCTACACTATTTGAAAGCAGAGCAAACAAAAACGCATCTAGAACGCAAGAATTTTTTATTGCAGATAAAACTAATTAAAAAATCTGAATTAAATCGGAGTTTTCTTTGAAGAATTACTTATTAAGTTTAAAAGGCAATTAAAATCAAATCTGTCAGTAAATGAATTGATTGATAAAATGGATATTACTTATAATGAAAAAGTGCTCTCTAAAATGCCGATTAAATCTAATTGAGAAGCTACAGCTGTCTGGAATTTGAATGAACTGCATATGGTTCAAATTATTTATTATAAACCCATTGCTATGTATTTACTTCTGAGAAAAAGTTGTATTTATACAGCGCTTGAAAAACAGTCCCCAAAATGGACTCGATTGAAAAGCAATGCATTTTAATGTTTAATGAAATTACTATAATAAAAATTTAACTTACAATATTTCTGCAGACATAATTTATGGGTTGGTTGATTTAGAAAATAAACGGACAGATGAGATAGGTATGGATATTTGTGTTTTTATGTTGAGGGAGCTCCTAAAGTGGAAATTCGGTCTGAATTATTTTGTAATGAATAATTCAAACAATGGAAAATAACTACGACAATTATTAAATAATAATTTAGACTGTGCACCGCAATTAGGATTGTTAACGCCCTTAACTCTTTCCAAAAAAGTTGGCCGCAAAACGAAATGCCGTTAAACGAAACAAGCAATTTCATACAAATGTATGGAAAATAAATAAACTGGTTCCAAAAGAAAAAAAACCTATATATAACCACTTCAAAAAAAAAAATTTATATTTTAGCACTATATCTGATATACATATATTTACTGATATAAGTATATATATTTTTAAGATCTTGCTCCAGTCTTCATGATTGCTTAAGAAAGAAATTTAATAGCTGTTTGACTTTTTTTTGTTGCTCTTATATAAATTTTTCATATGGTTACATAGCTTCGTTTCTTTTCTGGGAACGTCTGAGCTTTACTAAGGAAGTGATTTTGCATTCTTAAAGTCACTGAGTACTTAATTAATTTTATCAAAACACTTTTTCAGTATTTGCGATGTTAATTTAACACTATTATCTGATATGGTTGCCTTTTCCATATCGAAGTCTTCTGAATCATCTAGCTTCAGCAGTTTCTCATTCGTAAGCTGTTTTTTGTCATTTCTTAAAGGCGACTGTAAACCGAGGTATGGATGTACCATGTTTTCATTACGTACTTGATCGTTAACCTAATTTAATACTTTTTTTGAATACAGCGTTGAATATAATATATTATCGATAAAATACAAATTTACATCTGATACACTTTTTGTTATCATCAAAGTTTCTGCTCTCTCGAAAATTGCTTTCTAAGTAAATCTGAATTTTAGTTTCACAGTTATTACCTCTTGTCATTATGACAATGTCAACCATATTTTCACCTACAAATGTCCGAACGGTAGCTTGTAGGTTATATGATACCTTTATGGGGTTTTAAAATATTATACATCGGCTGATGTCTGTCTGTAAAGTAAACTTACTTTGAACTTCAATAGATGTTAGTACAATAGTATGAGTTGCTTGGCTAAGAGACGGTGATAATGCATCAGAGTTTGTGCTGTTTTTCAGGTATTGCAAGATAAACATTCATATTGTCGGGAACACTTACCGAAAGTCTACGATCTGGGACGGTATTTCCTTTAGATCTTAAGATTTGCATATATATTTAAATACGTATTAAAGTTTATATGTCAGAAGTTTTTTTTAATTTCTAAAAAAAATATATAATGAAATTGGAAAGGATACATGAAAATTATGCTTAATTAAATTAATTTCTAAATAAAAAAATAATCCAAATATAGATAATTAAATAAAATAAACTAAACTATACTAAAATAAAAATAGCAATAAATTAATATAATAAATTCGTAGGAAAACAAAAGTATAATAAATAATTAATGCATATATTGATTTTAATTTCTTAAATAATTAGTTTAATATTATTTCATAATAAGTAAATTTATTATTATTATTTAAAAACAAAAAATTAATATATGATCTGGTAATGCTGATGTTTTATTCCTGTTTGGGTATCTTCAGCGTTTATATTTATTCGATTTGTTGTGTTGTGAGACTTCTTGAAACTTATTATTAAGCTTTCAGTTCATATTTTATAACCCTTTGTGTCAGCAATTTATTGACGGTTGCTCTTTCACTATTTTGAGTTTTGTTTAAAACGTATTCAATTATTATTTTATAGTTTTTGATTTAAAGAGTTTCGGTGTCTCTCTTTTAGCTGTTAACAACATAAAAGAAACTGTTATTATTTACTAGGTGGATTGATAAATACCCGGCCTAAGTAATAAAAACGCATTTATTTTGTAAAATTATATTTTATGCTTCAATATAGTCCCCTTTTGGCTAGACACATCAAGTCCAACTATATTCCAACATTTTTCCTCCAAAAGATACTTTAGTTTTGCATTCAACTTTAACCTTTGATGCAAAATTTTTTATCTGGTGTCATCTTTTCAAGTTTGGAAATGGGTAACAGTCATACCGTAATTTATTTAATTTTGACGTATTTGACAAATGTAGCTTTTTCCTGGTTTTCTCATTCAATCGACCAAACAAAAAAATGAAATATAGTCTAATGTTATTGTTTTTCCTTTTTCCAAATAGTTTATGTAAATTATTGTACTTGAATCTAAAAATACGGAAGCCAAAAGCGTTTCAGCCGATTATGGAGTTCGTGGTCGTTTGGGAGCACTACCCCCGCGATTTACCCATTCTCTGGCTTGTTTTTCCTCAGGTGTGAAGTGATGAATCCATGTTTAATCAATTTTCACTATTCGAAGCTCACAATCAGCTAGATTGTGCATAAACATTTCCAAATCATGTATTGAATGGAAGTTTGTTTTTACCCAAATATTCATGTAAAATATTCGATACTCGTTCATACGATATGTTTGTCATCTTTGCTATCTCATGTAATTCTAGTATATAGAATTTAACAAGATTTTATCAAAGGAAAAACTAAATTTGTGTGGAGCATTTTAAGAACACGTTCGTTTGCGTTTTATTAAATTGTTAGATATGACATGGTCTCATTATTTTCATTCGAGACAAAAATCATCGCATATTATAGTCGTATCTTATCGTATTATCGAATCTAATGTGTTTAAACAGCAACTGAGCTGGTTTCTCATCTCGGGTTACTACAGTTGAAAAGTACGCATTTTAGTGGGGTTATAAATTGTTGACAATATTTTTTTTTTTTGTGTAATGTTGAAATGATAATCCGTTGATTTGTGTATTTCATCTTTGTAAGTTGACAAAAATTAATTTTTGAAGTCAGAATTTGCTTTAATAATCTAAGTTTTTATTTGTCATAAAGTTAACGTTTTTGTTTCTCAGCTATCATAATTTTTAATTCAGTCAACAGTTTGATTAAGCTGTTGATATTTAGTATTATGTAATGGGATATCAATAGTTGACCTTACTCAATGTTAAGGCCGCCTTTGATGACTATTGCATTTATATTCTTTTAAACACTAATGTTCCGATTTAAATGAGCTAACCATTGCATTGTATGAGTCAGAAAACGATACTTCTGACACAAATAATTTGCCACTATAAATTCGGTTAAGAGCTCATGTGGTGTCAAATATATTGACACCACATATACACATGAGTTTCGGGAACAGGAAAAAATCGCACGGATCGAGATCTGGCGAATATGGTGCCTGAGCGATGACAGTGGTGGTCAAAAAATCGCGTACAACAAGAATTTTCCATAGTAAAAATCGCTAAATGCACTTAAGGTAGTCTCACATTAACAGCTGCTGTAAACAAACTAACTGACAAATGGCGCTCCAATTTGTACCATATGTCAAGAAAGGGTGTACCAACATTACAAAAAAAATTTTTTTTGAAAAAGGTCTATTACTTAAGGAGTAGTTAACAAAATAACAAAATCCGGATACTTTTTGAGCAGAAGGTATCATTTGATATGTATAAGCTATCTATTGTAAGACTTAGGATAAGTTTTAGAGAACAGTCTGATGTAGAACGCGGTCTGGTAAAGATATTGTAAAAGACAAACGATACATAATAAATAAATGTAGTACTCATATACTAAAATAAATAATGTGTTATCAATTTCAGGTTAACTCCACTAATTTGCATTTAGGATACCTTTTGTAAATGTTTACCATCCCCTTTTTTAGTTCTGGGAAGTAAAATTTCGTTCAAATTATTATAGTTGTAATGGTTTTATATACTTTTCTTGTCATTGTATCATTTAAGAATATTTTTTTTTAGTTATATATATATGGTTTGATAATCAAAACTTAATATTTTTTGTTTTCATTTTTATTATAGGAAGTGGTTCATTTGGTGATATATATCTTGGAATAAGTATCCAAAGTGGTGAAGAAGTGGCTATAAAAATGGAGAGCATTAATGCGCGTCATCCTCAATTACTTTATGAGGCAAAACTTTATCGCATTTTAAGTGGAGGCGTTGGCATACCTAGAGTTCGTTATCACGGCAAAGAAAAAAACTTCAATACTCTTGTAATGGACCTTCTAGGACCTTCTTTGGAAGACTTATTTAATTTTTGTACTCGTCATTTTACAATAAAAACTGTTTTAATGTTGGTTGACCAAATGATTGGACGTCTGGAGTATATTCATATAAAATGCTTCATTCATCGTGACATTAAACCTGATAACTTTCTAATGGGTATCGGTCGTCACTGTAATAAATTATTTTTGATCGATTTCGGATTGGCAAAAAAATATCGCGATCCTACAACTCGTATTCATATACCCTACCGTGAAGATAAAAATTTAACAGGAACAGCACGTTATGCATCTATAAATGCTCATCTGGGAATTGAGCAATCTAGAAGAGATGATATGGAGTCTTTAGGTTATGTTATGATGTATTTTAATCGCGGCGTGTTACCTTGGCAAGGAATGAAGGCTAATAATAAACAACAAAAATATGAAAAAATATCAGAAAAAAAAATGTCAACTCCAATAGAAGTCCTGTGTAAAGGATTTCCTGCTGAATTTTCAATGTATTTAAATTATTGTCGTAGCCTGCGCTTTGAAGAACAACCTGATTATATGTACTTACGGCAGCTATTTCGGTATGTAATTTTATTATTTGTTTTTTATGCAAGCAAAATGATTTTTAATTGTTTATTTTTAGAATTTTATTTAGAACCTTAAACCATCAGTATGATTATATTTATGACTGGACAATGTTGAAACAGAAAACTCATCAAGGTCAACCCAATCAAATTTTATTGGGACAGGCAGAGCCTCGAAATGATCGTGACAAAGAAAAAGAAAAACAAAGTGGAAAACAAATGCTTACAGATTAATTATTTTTTTAATATGAAGCAAGAAGAAAGGAAATCACTGAAAACTAATTCTATGCATATATCCTGATATATCTATATAATATGTATGTTTATAATTATTATATACTTTGTAAACAATACTATATGTTTGCAAAATAATTTTGCATTAAATATAATAAATATCAGAATAATTTAATTTTAACCATACATTTTTAATTAAGTTAAATTTAATTAACAAATTTAAATGATTAAGAAACACATTTGTGCATAATTTAAATCATATCAACAGCGCCTTAAAATATTAAATTCGTATTATTTCAAAGAATAAATTTAAAAAATATGTAAGCAATAATTGTCGTGTATAACTTTTATAAATATTTTTATTTATCTTATCTTCTATATCGTAGAACTTTCTTATTAAAAAAGATAAATTTGTCCGCTTTAAATTTAAAAAAAAAATCCTGTATTTTCTAACAGTGAAAACATACTATTTACTGTTATTTTTTATACTTAGTTGAGGTATCACAAAACATACTAACTTAAAAAAGAAAGTAATCGAATATACATTCTAAATCTATGTCAATGACTACTGTTAAAGATTCGATAAACGGGATGTGATGTTTGACTTTTGTTGTCTCTTGCTCTAAAGAGGAATTATCGGTCATTTTGGTATTTTACTACTTTGGAATCTAATACTAAGTTTACATTGTGAAATTAAGTTAATCTACACCGTTTATATTATACATTAGAGATTCGTTTCGACGTTTCTCTTGTTATATTTTGTTTCGTGTGCTTGATAAATTTCTGTAAATAAAGCACTTAATAACAACTTTGTACAAAAAAATTGTCATTTAAATTTAATAAATAGTTTTATAACAATAATTAAGAAATTTTAGTTATTATTATGTACAAAGCTATTATTAAACAAATTTAATAAAAACTTCACTCAGTTCGCTATTTTGAAATTTCCAATGTTTTGAATAGATTTTGATATTTCTTTTCCAATTCTAAGATCGTGAAAAATCTACGATATTAAGATATTTGCAAAGTTGCATAGAAAAATAATCACCATTCTAAGGAGATTAAAAATTAATCTTAACCAAAACGAGATTAACTTTTGTATGGGACATCTGAGATTAAATAACTAAATTAGTAATTTAATCTTCATGATTACTTTAATCTACTTTAATTCTCATAATGTGAACGCAGTATAAGACTGTTCTCTATATTATTCTGTCTGCGGTATTAGTTTTGGTATAAGATCAACGTTTGTTAGGTACCGCGGTAAAATGTGGTTAGTCTGGACCTGGACCAAGGATAGAGTCAATTTCTGTCATTATAAGTAACAAGAATCAAGATGCCAAGCAATGAAGAACTTGCTTCTTAGTGTTAAAAACAAGTCTACGAGAATTGTCAAGACAAACACATTCCTGCTGATACAGTCCGTAATTGCAGAGGTGAGCGACGCTTTGGTTGTTGTAGTTGAGGTATTGTTTTGAGACATGGACTTGTTCGCTCCCTGAACAGTACAATTACATATTATCTTCCACTATTTTGCTTCTGAACCGTACTGACTAAATTCTTTTATTTTATTTGCATATTGTAATAACGGTAGTGGATGGTTTGATTCTAAACCTTGGTTTGGATTTGGTTAACATTGTGGGCATCAAATTAAGTATTTTGCGTTGTATGACATAATGCTATTACCAAAGCGGAAAATTTATTTCACAGTATTGTTGTCCATTGAGCAATATGTATTGACAATTTCTAACGGTCTTTAGTTAATAGCTACAGTAGTATTTTAAATTTAGAATAACATAATTATTCCGGTTCCGATATTGAATATACAAATAAATTCAGTCCATTTAGATTTGTTGGTTGGAACCCTTCCAAAGCTTTTTAATATTAGAGGTATTATTCTGTTATATTATTATTGATTCTAGATTATTATTGATTGTTCTATTGACCAGAGATGCACTGTTTTGACACTTTTAGCACCTTTTTATGTAAAGGCCTTTGCTATAAACATTGATATAATTAGCTGTTGTTCTTCGTCTCCTCCATACAAATAACCATTTTTTTATAAAAAAGCAGAAATGTGCTCTTAGAAGTCAGTTCACAAGCAAATAAAAAATAACATTAACAAATTATTTCAAATTGATATCCTAGCAAACAATTTTGTACACAGAATGTTGTAAAAAAAGATTATTTTTATTCGTTCATGTATGAGATTTATTTTATATGTATATATTGCTATTGATTTGGGACAAAAACTATATGAATTTAAGTAGGTCGGAATGAAGAACGGAATGACGAATATAATACAGCAACTGATAAGTCCGTAGGATGAAATTCTGACAGCGCCACTAATATTAAAAAGTAACAACTTTCAAATGAAAGCTGTTATTACATTTGAACGATTACTTATTTAATTAGAGCTGTTTAAGTAACGCTACTTTTCATATTTCCAGGACAATGGGCTTAAAGCAATTTCGTGTTTTGTTTTATCATTGCTAACATATTTAGTGGCAAAAAATACCGTGACAGCAAAATATTGTTTTGGTAAGTGTTATCCAGACTATGCTCCGTTGTTGTTGTAGCTAAGACGATTATATGGGTGAGGAGGTGGATGAGTACTGGTTAAGGGGTGGGGAAGGACATGGCGCTATTGGGATGTCCATATGTGTGGCATGCAAGGGAGGTATTACTTTGAAGTTATGCTCTCTTACATGCAGCATTTTCGATTCCGTATGGAGATGGTCAGCATGCGTCATGCGATGGCAGCCGGTTGTAATTCGTAATGGCGTGTTTTGACATGATTGGGTGTTAATCAATTACATCTCGCAGAGTTGTGGGGTCCGTATTGAAGTAGTATAGGCCGCAATAGGACGACCTACTGCTTTGTATATGCTCAGTAGGGTTTCTGTATCTTTGCGTTTTAATAAATTATTAAAAGATTTCAACCAACCGCGCATAGCAGAAACATGTTCAGAAAATGTCAACATACTGTCGACTACGATACTCAGGATTTTAGGTTTGGTGATGGTGGCAACCTGGCGGACTGATGTTTTGGTTTGTAACAACCAAAATTTTAGTAATTAAAATTTGATTGTAACAACGCCGTGGGTATAGCTGCCTACTAAACACAACACGACCACCTACCACACAACAAGTAACACTCACTCGAAGGTTCCTGTAATAAAAATTGTTTAATACTTATAAAAACATTAAGTTAGACCAACTCAGTAACAGCACGTTATGCATCTATAAATGCTCATCTGGGAATTGAGCAATCTAGAAGAGATGATATGGAGTCTTTAGGTTATGTTATGATGTATTTTAATCGCGGCGTGTTACCTTGGCAAGGAATGAAGGCTAATAATAAACAACAAAAATATGAAAAAATATCAGAAAAAAAAATGTCAACTCCAATAGAAGTCCTGTGTAAAGGATTTCCTGCTGAATTTTCAATGTATTTAAATTATTGTCGTAGCCTGCGCTTTGAAGAACAACCTGATTATATGTACTTACGGCAGCTATTTCGGTATGTAATTTTATTATTTGTTTTTTATGCAAGCAAAATGATTTTTAATTGTTTATTTTTAGAATTTTATTTAGAACCTTAAACCATCAGTATGATTATATTTATGACTGGACAATGTTGAAACAGAAAACTCATCAAGGTCAACCCAATCAAATTTTATTGGGACAGGCAGAGCCTCGAAATGATCGTGACAAAGAAAAAGAAAAACAAAGTGGAAAACAAATGCTTACAGATTAATTATTTTTTTAATATGAAGCAAGAAGAAAGGAAATCACTGAAAACTAATTCTATGCATATATCCTGATATATCTATATAATATGTATGTTTATAATTATTATATACTTTGTAAACAATACTATATGTTTGCAAAATAATTTTGCATTAAATATAATAAATATCAGAATAATTTAATTTTAACCATACATTTTTAATTAAGTTAAATTTAATTAACAAATTTAAATGATTAAGAAACACATTTGTGCATAATTTAAATCATATCAACAGCGCCTTAAAATATTAAATTCGTATTATTTCAAAGAATAAATTTAAAAAATATGTAAGCAATAATTGTCGTGTATAACTTTTATAAATATTTTTATTTATCTTATCTTCTATATCGTAGAACTTTCTTATTAAAAAAGATAAATTTGTCCGCTTTAAATTTAAAAAAAAAATCCTGTATTTTCTAACAGTGAAAACATACTATTTACTGTTATTTTTTATACTTAGTTGAGGTATCACAAAACATACTAACTTAAAAAAGAAAGTAATCGAATATACATTCTAAATCTATGTCAATGACTACTGTTAAAGATTCGATAAACGGGATGTGATGTTTGACTTTTGTTGTCTCTTGCTCTAAAGAGGAATTATCGGTCATTTTGGTATTTTACTACTTTGGAATCTAATACTAAGTTTACATTGTGAAATTAAGTTAATCTACACCGTTTATATTATACATTAGAGATTCGTTTCGACGTTTCTCTTGTTATATTTTGTTTCGTGTGCTTGATAAATTTCTGTAAATAAAGCACTTAATAACAACTTTGTACAAAAAAATTGTCATTTAAATTTAATAAATAGTTTTATAACAATAATTAAGAAATTTTAGTTATTATTATGTACAAAGCTATTATTAAACAAATTTAATAAAAACTTCACTCAGTTCGCTATTTTGAAATTTCCAATGTTTTGAATAGATTTTGATATTTCTTTTCCAATTCTAAGATCGTGAAAAATCTACGATATTAAGATATTTGCAAAGTTGCATAGAAAAATAATCACCATTCTAAGGAGATTAAAAATTAATCTTAACCAAAACGAGATTAACTTTTGTATGGGACATCTGAGATTAAATAACTAAATTAGTAATTTAATCTTCATGATTACTTTAATCTACTTTAATTCTCATAATGTGAACGCAGTATAAGACTGTTCTCTATATTATTCTGTCTGCGGTATTAGTTTTGGTATAAGATCAACGTTTGTTAGGTACCGCGGTAAAATGTGGTTAGTCTGGACCTGGACCAAGGATAGAGTCAATTTCTGTCATTATAAGTAACAAGAATCAAGATGCCAAGCAATGAAGAACTTGCTTCTTAGTGTTAAAAACAAGTCTACGAGAATTGTCAAGACAAACACATTCCTGCTGATACAGTCCGTAATTGCAGAGGTGAGCGACGCTTTGGTTGTTGTAGTTGAGGTATTGTTTTGAGACATGGACTTGTTCGCTCCCTGAACAGTACAATTACATATTATCTTCCACTATTTTGCTTCTGAACCGTACTGACTAAATTCTTTTATTTTATTTGCATATTGTAATAACGGTAGTGGATGGTTTGATTCTAAACCTTGGTTTGGATTTGGTTAACATTGTGGGCATCAAATTAAGTATTTTGCGTTGTATGACATAATGCTATTACCAAAGCGGAAAATTTATTTCACAGTATTGTTGTCCATTGAGCAATATGTATTGACAATTTCTAACGGTCTTTAGTTAATAGCTACAGTAGTATTTTAAATTTAGAATAACATAATTATTCCGGTTCCGATATTGAATATACAAATAAATTCAGTCCATTTAGATTTGTTGGTTGGAACCCTTCCAAAGCTTTTTAATATTAGAGGTATTATTCTGTTATATTATTATTGATTCTAGATTATTATTGATTGTTCTATTGACCAGAGATGCACTGTTTTGACACTTTTAGCACCTTTTTATGTAAAGGCCTTTGCTATAAACATTGATATAATTAGCTGTTGTTCTTCGTCTCCTCCATACAAATAACCATTTTTTTATAAAAAAGCAGAAATGTGCTCTTAGAAGTCAGTTCACAAGCAAATAAAAAATAACATTAACAAATTATTTCAAATTGATATCCTAGCAAACAATTTTGTACACAGAATGTTGTAAAAAAAGATTATTTTTATTCGTTCATGTATGAGATTTATTTTATATGTATATATTGCTATTGATTTGGGACAAAAACTATATGAATTTAAGTAGGTCGGAATGAAGAACGGAATGACGAATATAATACAGCAACTGATAAGTCCGTAGGATGAAATTCTGACAGCGCCACTAATATTAAAAAGTAACAACTTTCAAATGAAAGCTGTTATTACATTTGAACGATTACTTATTTAATTAGAGCTGTTTAAGTAACGCTACTTTTCATATTTCCAGGACAATGGGCTTAAAGCAATTTCGTGTTTTGTTTTATCATTGCTAACATATTTAGTGGCAAAAAATACCGTGACAGCAAAATATTGTTTTGGTAAGTGTTATCCAGACTATGCTCCGTTGTTGTTGTAGCTAAGACGATTATATGGGTGAGGAGGTGGATGAGTACTGGTTAAGGGGTGGGGAAGGACATGGCGCTATTGGGATGTCCATATGTGTGGCATGCAAGGGAGGTATTACTTTGAAGTTATGCTCTCTTACATGCAGCATTTTCGATTCCGTATGGAGATGGTCAGCATGCGTCATGCGATGGCAGCCGGTTGTAATTCGTAATGGCGTGTTTTGACATGATTGGGTGTTAATCAATTACATCTCGCAGAGTTGTGGGGTCCGTATTGAAGTAGTATAGGCCGCAATAGGACGACCTACTGCTTTGTATATGCTCAGTAGGGTTTCTGTATCTTTGCGTTTTAATAAATTATTAAAAGATTTCAACCAACCGCGCATAGCAGAAACATGTTCAGAAAATGTCAACATACTGTCGACTACGATACTCAGGATTTTAGGTTTGGTGATGGTGGCAACCTGGCGGACTGATGTTTTGGTTTGTAACAACCAAAATTTTAGTAATTAAAATTTGATTGTAACAACGCCGTGGGTATAGCTGCCTACTAAACACAACACGACCACCTACCACACAACAAGTAACACTCACTCGAAGGTTCCTGTAATAAAAATTGTTTAATACTTATAAAAACATTAAGTTAGACCAACTCAGTAACAGCACGTTATGCATCTATAAATGCTCATCTGGGAATTGAGCAATCTAGAAGAGATGATATGGAGTCTTTAGGTTATGTTATGATGTATTTTAATCGCGGCGTGTTACCTTGGCAAGGAATGAAGGCTAATAATAAACAACAAAAATATGAAAAAATATCAGAAAAAAAAATGTCAACTCCAATAGAAGTCCTGTGTAAAGGATTTCCTGCTGAATTTTCAATGTATTTAAATTATTGTCGTAGCCTGCGCTTTGAAGAACAACCTGATTATATGTACTTACGGCAGCTATTTCGGTATGTAATTTTATTATTTGTTTTTTATGCAAGCAAAATGATTTTTAATTGTTTATTTTTAGAATTTTATTTAGAACCTTAAACCATCAGTATGATTATATTTATGACTGGACAATGTTGAAACAGAAAACTCATCAAGGTCAACCCAATCAAATTTTATTGGGACAGGCAGAGCCTCGAAATGATCGTGACAAAGAAAAAGAAAAACAAAGTGGAAAACAAATGCTTACAGATTAATTATTTTTTTAATATGAAGCAAGAAGAAAGGAAATCACTGAAAACTAATTCTATGCATATATCCTGATATATCTATATAATATGTATGTTTATAATTATTATATACTTTGTAAACAATACTATATGTTTGCAAAATAATTTTGCATTAAATATAATAAATATCAGAATAATTTAATTTTAACCATACATTTTTAATTAAGTTAAATTTAATTAACAAATTTAAATGATTAAGAAACACATTTGTGCATAATTTAAATCATATCAACAGCGCCTTAAAATATTAAATTCGTATTATTTCAAAGAATAAATTTAAAAAATATGTAAGCAATAATTGTCGTGTATAACTTTTATAAATATTTTTATTTATCTTATCTTCTATATCGTAGAACTTTCTTATTAAAAAAGATAAATTTGTCCGCTTTAAATTTAAAAAAAAAATCCTGTATTTTCTAACAGTGAAAACATACTATTTACTGTTATTTTTTATACTTAGTTGAGGTATCACAAAACATACTAACTTAAAAAAGAAAGTAATCGAATATACATTCTAAATCTATGTCAATGACTACTGTTAAAGATTCGATAAACGGGATGTGATGTTTGACTTTTGTTGTCTCTTGCTCTAAAGAGGAATTATCGGTCATTTTGGTATTTTACTACTTCAATTGACACTTTGGAATCTAATACTAAGTTTACATTGTGAAATTAAGTTAATCTACACCGTTTATATTATACATTAGTGATTCGTTTCGACGTTTCTCTTGTTATATTTTGTTTCGTGTGCTTGATAAATTTCTGTAAATAAAGCACTTAATAGCAACTTTGTACAAAAAAATTGTCATTTAAATTTAATAAATAGTTTTATAACAATAATTAAGAAATTTTAGTTATTATTATGTACAAAGCTATTATTAAACAAATTTAATAAAAACTTCACTCAGTTCGCTATTTTGAAATTTCCAATGTTTTGAATAGATTTTGATATTTCTTTTCCAATTCTAAGATCGTGAAAAATCTACGATATTAAGATATTTGCAAAGTTGCATAGAAAAATAATCACCATTCTAAGGAGATTAAAAATTAATCTTAACCAAAACGAGATTAACTTTTGTATGGGACATCTGAGATTAAATAACTAAATTAGTAATTTAATCTTCATGATTACTTTAATCTACTTTAATTCTCATAATGTGAACGCAGTATAAGACTGTTCTCTATATTATTCTGTCTGCGGTATTAGTTTTGGTATAAGATCAACGTTTGTTAGGTACCGCGGTAAAATGTGGTTAGTCTGGACCTGGACCAAGGATAGAGTCAATTTCTGTCATTATAAGTAACA